AAGAAGCTGCCTTGCTGTTGGAGAATTATTTGATTCTAAAGCTACCTGAAAAAAATTATTACTCGTATTTCCCACTGTAAGTATAACATGTGCGTCATTAAATAAATTTGTATAAAAATAATCTGCCCACCACCTACCACCTAAGCCCACTTGCCTTTACCATTTTGCTGTAATATACATGAGGATTTTTTTTTCTCTGCATAGCTTCGAGTTTTTTGCAACATAACTCTAAACATGCTGCAGATGCAATTTTGTATCCTACAGGCCCATTTATTAATGTGGCTTCCCTTTCACATTGGAATACACTCTCACATGGCAATGCTGGATTTCAAGGTTAGGCTAAAAGATCTTGGATGCAGTGAGTCATAGGCATAGTAGGAAGTATGCAGATTGGAATGTAGAGACCCCAGGCAAGACACTTAAGCTCCATGAGCCTTTGCATTCACTGCATTAGAAGAGGGATAATTTTCTTTCACACTGGCGTTTTACCAGGGCCGGAGGAGGTTAGGAGTGTGAAAGCGCTTGGTAAATTGGTAAAGCCCCCATGCTCAAATGGTATAAACCTCAGCCATATACTCAGGTGTTCAGGAACACTGTAGGGGTAACTTCCTGCTCCCTGGGAAGCACCAGGACCCCAGGGTGTTTACATTGATATCTAAAAATTGGGGGAAGGGTCACTACTCTCCAGACATCCAGGTTACTGCCCATGTATGCATTGCCCAAATTCTCTATGGTCCCTTACACTCCCCTGGCTCTGTTTCCACAGCACTTGAGAAATAAGAGGATCTTTGTTGCTGCTGAGAGAGCCAGTGCCTTCCAAAGCACGTCACACCGCCTTCCCCTTGCATCCCAGAAGCAATGGAGAAGAAATCTCCCCAAGCTGCTCCGCACAGTTAGCTTCTTTCTACAGTTTGCAGCACTATCATAAAAATGAAATGATTAACATTTTAAGTTATACTATAAATAAAAATTATAGGGGCCAGGGTTATTCAGCCAGAACATCATGTTACTGGTGATTTGGTACACAAATCATGAGCCAGGCACTGTGAAACACGCCATACTTGTTTACTCACTTGTCCTGATGCCAACCTTATGGGGTCAGTGGCACAACTAGAGGAGAAACGGAGGCTTGAGGAAGTTAAGGCCGTAACTTGCTCAAAGTCATGTAGCCAGGACAGAGTGGAGTCCAGTGGGACATAAGTCAGCCTGTCTCCAGTTCCCATGCTCTAAACCAGGATGCTACTGTATTCATTACTGAAGGGCAGAAGCACCGTGTGTTAAGGGTGCAGGAGTGAGTCATTATAAATTAACAAAGGGGTGTTTTCTGGGAATTTCTTTATTCAGACACTTTTTAAAAAAGAGGATTACATCTAATCCCTCTGGAATGGCTTCATTGTGGTCCCGAGTGAAAGGACTAGTTTGACCTCTTGAGTCCTTGTAGCCCCGTGATTTCATGCTAGTTAATATAATATTATTAGGTATCACACATAGAGCTGTCTACTCTCATTTATTACCAAATCCCTGTGCAATCTCAGCTAGATAGATAGATTGTTGTACTCAATTTACAAGTGATGAGAATGTGGCAGAAAGAGGTTAATTGAGTTGCCCAAGATTTCATTGGGAAACTGAGTGCAAACACCAATTGTTTCGAACCCTGCCTGAGTAGCAAGTGTGTTGATTGATGTATTTCCTGTCACTCATCCTGTATCTCTGGAAACTGTTCTGCCTTCCCCAAATCTGTTCCATTTTCCATTCTGCCATAGTGTGTCTGTGAAATCAGGCCCTGGGAGTGCTATGAGATTGCACGGGACTCTCCTCACACAGCCCCAGAAATGTCCTTGCCTCTTTGCAGAACATTTAGAAAGGCTGGAGGTGTGTGTGTGTGTGCACACCATTATGAATTTATTTTATAGTGCCTTTGATCTAGAGTGCTTTTCTAGAAAGAAGAGAAAAACAACTGTTTTCCAGAATTCTCCCTCTTCCTTTTTCTGAAACTATAGCATAGGGTGATCAGAATATCACTGCAGCTAATGAAAGTGAGAAGCAACTTACTTAGCCTCTGAAATGGTATCAGAGTTATTATTATAAAAGTTTCTACTCCAAGCTACAAGACAAAATCAGGCATTATCTACTGAAAAATGAAGCAAACATGTATTCAAGATATTAGACTAAAGTCCAAGTCTATGATTGATGAATGAAAAAATATAAAATTAATAAGCAGTGACCAGAGAGAACACCGTGTATTCCTAGCTGTAGGACATCTTTATTCATTTCTTCTACAAATGTTTGCGGAGTGCCTTCTGGGTGTCGGGCATTTTCTAGGCACTGTGGTACACTCATGAATGAGTCAGATGAAACTCCTGCTCTCATGGAATTTATATTCTGGTGAGAGAAATGGATAATAAAGAAATAAATGAATAACAAGAGCAGCAACAAAATCCATGGCTCACACTTGGCTACCGATCTATTCTCTAATGCCCACACAAGGTAATGGGGAAGGAGGGACGGAGTTGAGGTGGCCTCCAAGGTGGAAGTGCTATGGCGAGATGGGGACAGCCACCTTCATGAGTTGGTCCTGTGTCTTTGGCTCATTCTCTGAAGCTTGTGTACCTCAGAAGATGGGCTTTGACATTATGCTTCTTTTTCACGTGGTCTCTAGTTTTCCAGCATGTGGCAAGATGTGCTAGTACAAAGGGGAGTCCATTACTAATTGTGAGATAATTTGGAGACATTTGGTGGTTGACCAAATTTGTTCATGTTTATTAAATACTAGAGGCCCGGTGCACAGATTCGTGCACTGGTGGGGGGGCGTGGCTTGTGGGGATTGGCCTACTGTGGGAGCACCGTTCATCCTGGTCAGCTGAGCAGCTGTGGATCTGCCCTCTGAGCAGTTGCTCCTGCAGTGGTAACACCGCTCATCCAGGTCAGCCGAATGACGTTCCCACTGTGGGAGCGCACTGACCACCAGGGGCAACTCCTATGTTGAGCGTCTGCCCTCTGGTGGTCAGTGAGCATCATAGCGACTGGCCATTCTGCCTTTCGGTCACTGGGCATATATATATATATATATATGCATTTATAATTCATTAAAAGAAGAATTTTAATAATCTTACCTAGAGTAGATCTCACCCGTTTTAACTGATTATTCATTGGTATTGACAAATTCAAGTTAAAAGGAAAAAAAAAAAAGACCAAGAAACACCCATCAGCCCTCTTGCCCAAACAAAACAAATTACAAATCAGTAAAATCCCATGCCCTCCAAAACAACATCAAAAATCCATCCCCACCAGTTTCCCATGCCCCTGGGTGCTAGGCTTGGGCCCTAACAGACGTGGGGGATGGACAAGATTGAGTACCTGGGGCTCCTGTCCCTGGGAGGCCTCTCCTCTCTCGCTGATGTTCTTGGCTTCAGGTCAGATTGCTTAACTCAGTCTCAGATTCTCCTTTCACTCTTGTGGAGGATTTTTTTCCTCTCGAGAAGGATTCAGTTATTTTGAAGATAGCTTTTCATTGAGCTTGTAGAGTAGAGCCTTTCATTAAAGTCTCCTGGGACTGTGTTAAGATGTGATTCAGATTTAGGAGGTCTGGGTGGCGTCTGTGACTGCATTTGTGATGTGCTCCCAGGTGAGGCTGCTGCTCCTGGTCCACTGACCAGAGTTTGAGGAAGGAAAACCTCTAATGAAAGAAGATGAGCACATCACTTATCTCTGGCATGCTTCTTCTAACTAAAACTGCTGTTGTTTTTTTAATTCCAATTGTTATTTATTCTCATTGCCAACAATATACATGCCACAGAAACTCTAAAAAATACAGATAAGAAACTAATCTATTACCAAGTTACCCAGATTTAGCAAATAAAAATACAGAATTATGGAATAAAAATGCAGGATGAGGCAAAAGTATGTTTATAGTTGTTTGTATGAAAAAGAATACAATAATTAATAAATAATAATACAGTAATAAACTCTGTTTCATGTACTCACAGCTATCAACCTACTTTTTCCCCACCCTGTATTTTGCAAATAAAAAACATAATTTTTTTAGTATAAGTATTTCCCAAATATTGCCTGAGATATTCTAAAATATATTTGTTGTTTACCTGAAATTCAAATTTAACTAGGTATTTTTATTTTATCTGTAAATCCTACCTATGATCCTGGTATCTAATAGAGGACATAGTTGCTTACAAAATATTTTCTTCTTTCCAAACCCAGATGCCTTGTTCTTCATTTCACACGAGAGTTTTACAATTTAATTTCAGGCCAGGCCATCTCAATTAATGATGCGGTTCAATCACCATGTCCACAATTGGCAATGGTGACCAGGAAGGGATATGAACATGATCAGGATGATTAGTTTAGCCATGTAATTGCCTCGATTCTGTGGCAAATTAATGATGGATTCTTTCAATTCCCAAACAGTTCAGCAAGA